ACATGGTAAGAGTGAGTACATTGATGCAACTATTTATTGAAATGGTCTCTTTGAAGTAAAGTCTGTTGTGTACTTTGAAAAAATAATGTGTTTTTTAAACATTTTTTTATGGTATTTTGTCATGGAAATAAGGGCTGCAAATGGATGGAATTGAATGGGGTATACCCAGATCCAAATTTGATTCATCAATATTTGGGCCTATTCGCTTTTCGGTAAGTTATTTATCCAAGTAAATGCAATTATCTGGGTAAGTTTTTCCTGGGAAACACTTATCCAAGTAAGTGTATTTACTCATGTTCTTTTATTTCTCAGGTAAGTAAGGCAATGTCCATTTTAGTCATAGAAATCTATTATTAAAAGGGACATTTTTGTCCCATTCAAGTATTGGTAACTTTCCCCCTATGTGGGAAAGTTATTTACCTACCTAGGAGATGGGTATCACTTTCCTGGGTAAATGATACCTAAGAAAATAAACTTTCCCTAGTCCTATATAAAGTTGAAAAAAAAACATAGGATTCTTGGTAAATGGGAACCAAAATCCCATTGACCAACTTCCCCCCTCCAAATGCAAAAAAAGAACGCCCCTTGGATTTGAATTGGGTTAGGGTGAAATTTGGATATTGATGAATACCATTCATTAACAAATTATGCAAAAATGACCATTATATTAAATATTATTAATAAAAAGAACTGAAAATAATTTCTATGAGACTTGAATCTATATCTCAATAGTAAACACAAAACATTAAAACCAATTTTCTGAACCAATATATTTAAATATGATCAGATGGGACAATATATGGTGGATCCATGTTTGATAAAGGCCATTACTTAATGTTGGTCCTAGTTATCTGGGGTATTGGGAGGGATAGATTGGCTATGATCCTAACCTTTGGCATTTTTCTCACACAAAGTGACCACCTTTAGACCCAAACCCATGTCTTCACCTTGCCAGCCCGAGATTTTATCATTACACAAACTGGATTGGATTCGAATTCAGATTTGGACAAACAGATACCATTTGCAGCCCTGTTGGACCTTACCCAAAGAAATACCTTATAACTATAGCATCAACCCCTCCTTCCCTCCTCCCTCCCTCCACCCTCCTCTCTCTAGATCTGTTTGTGTGTGTGGTTATCTATGTATTTTCGTAGTGCTGAGAAATCATCTATGGCTGTAGCATGTGACCAGCTTTCAATTATCAGTTATGTGACCCTTGACATCAAGTTTTTAATTGTATAAAAGACTTCTATATTATATACTTCGTACTGTCGGTGAGTGTTGTATTGTTAACTGAAGCAATATTGAGAGAGAGAGAGTCAGTCAGTCAAAAATAAACAGTACACCAATAATGCCAAGAAAAAACACGGTTTGGTTGGGTTTACACGGTTCAGGCCGGCCGGATGCATGGAGCCGAGCTTGTGAGTTGTGACAAAGTGAAAAAGAAGGGAGGCAGAGACCCGTGAGAGCGTTGATGGGTCGGGTCATGTCGAGGTTGACATAGAGAGGTCCGCTTCACAGAGTTATTTTTCTAATTTTCTTACATTTTCCAAGGAAAAGAAGATTCTATGGAAAGTGATATATCGCAAAAATTAGTATAGAGAATTGTGGATAATGGATTCCCAAGGGTAGCCTCGGGTTTCATTGCTTCAAATTCCAACGTTAGAAAATGATTAGAGCACCCAAGTTTTGTCCAAACTTGAAAAATTTTTCCTTCTTCCAATTGAAAACATTTGGATTTCCAAAAGGAAAATTAGTGAAGGAATCCAAAAAGTCAAGCTGAAGTCCTCGAGGGCCCCACTTAGCTGGAATTCCCACTGATCCAGCTGACTTTCTGTTCACCTAATTAAATTTTAAGATCGGAACACTTATCCGTAATTTCGTATAAACATAAATATTTCCATGAGTCATTTTTTCCTCCTGTGACTCATGACAACATGTTGACAATCTCTTTCTCGGTTTCTCTCTTTCTCTCACATATAAGAGGAATTAAAAGAAATTAAGAGGACTAATTTCTCTTTCTATATCTATCTATCTATCAAAAGTATGGTTTTGAGATCGGAAAAACCGGGAATCGGTTATCTGACCGGTTCTGTTCTTTCTCAAAATCATTGATTTTGGTCAGCAAATTATTAAATTGATCGATTAATCATTTAAACGGTTTTGACTATTTTTCAAATTTTTTTTTTTTAGAACAGATTGGCCATTCAGGTCGAACGATCAGACCATTCAAATCGATAACTAGACCCTTGACCATTTTGGTCACCACTTCGGTTTTAAAAACCATGATGGATAGGTCAGATTGGATATGGGTTTGCCTCAATCCTGTAGGGTTCAGCCTGATACCAATTTGATTTCATCCACAACCTTTTAATTTTTATTTTTTTATAATATAGTTTGAAATTTTAAAATCTATTAATTTAAATTAAAATTTATTTTATAAGTTCTAAGATGTCTTTTTTCCATTAAAAAAACAAAAATCAATGACAATATGAAAAAAAAAAATCCTAAATGAGCTTATAACAATATTTTGTTTACATGCACATATATCATGACCCAATGAGTTGGATCAGTCAAAACCCAAACCCAATATAGTTTGGTCAAACTGGATTTTTCATTTAACCCGACTCATTCACATGCCTCCAAAAGAGGAATTAAAAAAGAATGAAGAGGGCCAACCCATGAAATTAGGGCACAAATTTTCAGAATTTGTTCACAAAGCTCCTGTTTTCTAGGCCTCATTTGTCAACATGGATCAAACAATCCAAGTCTGTAAGTACACAGATTACAATGTACTTGACCAACATGTCCATGCCACATGCAATGTACTAAAAATAGAACATATAAACCTAATCCCACAATAATGCACCTAAAGCGTTGCACTTGTAGACTGTCTACATACACTAAGCATAGAATGTTTCTACTCTTACTACAACTGTCATGAGGACCATTACTTTTTTGACTCTTGTAAAATCATACCTCGAGATTGCTTCCCCTAGGAAGAGATCTCTAGAATTAGGATCTGCTTATAATCATGGCCTTTGCCTTATATAATCTATAATTTGTAGCCCTAACAGTAATAAATTGTGTTATCAAAGGATGAAGTTTTGTATTTCCACTCTTTTTTTTTTCTGCTCAAAGTGCATATTGTTCAGTTCAATTATCTTCTAAACAGATAATTAGTTGTCAATTGTTAATGAAACTAGTTTTTGCATGTATTTAAACCACACACAAACCATTACTGCAATTCATTAATTAGTAAAGAAATATCAACAAATTAGGAAAGGAATTGATATGACAAAAACCCTTTTAATGTAGGAGTAAAATTTTAATATTTCAATTCATTGATTATCAAAAAAGGAAAGAATATTTATTTTTGGTAAAGAAAAAAAAAGGAGAGAATACTTGGTTCATGGGTCATGGAGAGAGAGAGAGAGAGCCAAAAATGGTTGGTAATTTATACAAGGAAGTTTCTTTAATGGAGAAAGGAAACTTTAAAATACAATACATTAGTTAATTTTAAATGGCCTGTCCTATTCTCTCTCTCTCTCTCTCATATAATGATATAAAGATGCTAAAATGGCTGGAAATTCAGATAAAGAAGGGAAGTTTCCTAGTTTGTAAAAATGGAAAAAATTAAAATACAATGCATTAAATAAAGACCATGTTTCTCCCTCTACAAGGCACAAAAAAATTATGCTTATCATGGCTTGTCTATGACCCAATTGGGTGGGCCACCAGCCCTCAACAAAACCATCTTGACTGGTTAACCTACCATTCAACAGGTTGCTTTTGTAGCATACAAGGCCATTAATGGGTCCACTCATTGAGAGTTAAGCGTGAAGGAAACAAACCTTTTATGAAAGCACCCTCCCTCCAAAAAAGAAAAAAGAAAAAAAAAAAAAATTCCTAACCAAAGGGAGAAATAAGAGAACTGACCACTCTCATTTAAATTTCTTTTAAAAAGGACATCTAGTCATCTACTAAGCTTCAACAACCTCTCACATTAAAATCCCTCTGTAACTGTACACTCACCATTTCATGAGATTCACATTAGGGTTTCAACTTTCAAAGTTCAAACTAGAAGGCATTTACACTCGAGTCAGGGAATTCTAAAGTTCCTAACCAAGCCCGGTTCATCCATCCATTTTATCCGGTTTAACCATTACTTGATAAGAGACTGGTACAGCCATCATTACCATCCGGGACAGCACTGTTTTTTTCTTCCAAAGCTCGGAATAGTCCACCAAGATTGGGATCCGATCCATTTATTACAGAAAAAGCCAGCAGGAACCACCCATCTTCCAGCTTAACCCGGATTGGATCCAGAGTTGGTTTTAGCATCCTGGTCCAGATTCAATTTTTGATCCACAGGTTGGACCTGGTTTGGGACAGGGTGGATTAATCCTGAATCTATTATAATTAATCAGTTTTATAAAATAGATCCAAAACCAAATCAATTAATAACCGGAATATTCTGGTCTATTCCGATTAGACTCAATTATACTTCACATTTATAATTATTTATGGTAATAATAAGTTGAAACTTCATTTTTAATAATATAACCTAAATAAAAATGATAGGAAATACTAAATTATTTATATATCAATTAAATAACTGTTTTTTAACTAAAACTATCTTATTAATTGGCCGTACAATTTATCCTTTTTACATAAAATAAAACAAAAATTACAAAAAAATTAGAGACCTTCCAGTATATATAATTGGTTCAGAGTAGAAAGAACCGATCCCAACCCAATTATTAATCGGAATACAAACAACAGAAACAGAACCAACAAACTGGTCCGGGCGGTTCGATTCTATCGGATAGACCCGACCCATTGACAGCTCTGATCTAACCATTGGAAAACAGAGACAAGAAGAAAGGACAATAGGCCGCATGTGGCGCACACGTGCAACATCAGTGAAGCTTAATTTAAAACCTGTGCACGAAACACGAAGGAAACTGTAGTAGGAATGGAAGAATAGATTCACTAGGAAAAAATTAAAAAAAAAAAAAGAAAGAAGAAAAAGAAGAGAGAAAATCTTCTCTCTCTGAAAATTCTATCCTCCGGACTCCAGTCATTCTCACTTTTTTTTTTTTTTTTCTGCAAAGCCGCAGCAGTTGGAGCAGAAACAGAAGCAACTGCATTCTTAGTTCTTACACATTCTCTTGTTTAAGGTTCCCTTTTTGGGAAACCAAAGCCACTGCCATTCTCTCTGTGTCTCTCCCTCTGCTGTTGTCTGTCTTATTCTTATTTCGCTCTTCTCTTCCATGAAAAACGCAGAAAAAGAAGCTCAGGAAAATGGGTGAAGAGCCTTTGGACAGAGAAGTTGAACAGGTTTCATATTTTCTCTATACATTTTCAAAATCCATATAACTATACCCATCTCTTTATTTTTCTTTTTTTTCTTTTCAAGTTTAACATTATTATCTTACTCTTTCTTTTTTTTTTTTTCTGAATTACCCAGTGAATTTAACATTATTATATTTATGACAAATTTTTTCTCTGTTTCTCTAGCCTGTATCCTGTAGGTACTGTTTCATGGCTCAATTCTTTTTTCTTTCCTGCGTTATTTTCGTTTAACTGAAAATGTGGTTTGGATTTAGTCTCTATTATTCCTCCTCTTTCTTCAAGTCTTTCATAACATTCCTACTGGTTGTTTTGTTCATGGTTTTTTTTTTTTTTATTTTTTTGTATAAATGTTTTGAAATTTGTAATTTAGATGAAGCTCACAGGTGGCAATTACAAGGTTCTGCTCTAACGTCTGAAACATATGTTTACTTTCTCGTTTTTCTGTTTTCGTTTTTTTTCCTTGTTAGTTTTGGGTTCTGGTGTCTGGCAATTTACGTTCAGGTGGATGTTCAGTGAAGTTGGGGCCTCTGGTTTTGATTTTATGTTTAATCGATCGACTACTATTTGCACATCTCTGTACTAATCGCGTTACTCTTTTGCTGTCATTTTGTATATCTGAAGGCATTCATTTCTTCTCAGACAGTAGGCAATGGGTTTGGCATTCATTTCTTCTCAGACAGTAGGCAATGGGTTTACACTTCTAACATACTCTTTCTTCTGAGTGGTACCAACACTGGGTAATTAATGTTCCTGTTAAGTCAAAGTTACCTGTGTTGGTCTTACAATCAAAAAATTTTCTGCTTTTAACTTTGGTTTCTGTATGAAAAGTGGTTTTCTAATTTTGGGTTTCAAAGTTATAAATTTAGAGTGTGAATTCACGTTAGAGAGGCTTAATGGAATTCAGTGAATTCCATTTGCTGGATATTTTGAATTAGGAAATGGCCATGCACTGTTCTGCTAAGATCGTGCCATTGGAAGCATTCTTTTCCTCCCCATAATTCAAAGCAAAAGTTCATCATCTAGAGCTGGTACATTATCTTTTCTAGAATTACATCATGTCTTCATATTAATGTGTGATGATGGGATTTAGAATATGATGAAGCCATCCATAATGTTTAATTTAGGTAATGGTTTGGCATTTTCTTTTTCCTGCCTTATGCAACTATAACAACCTTGAGAACAAGAAGCAGAGCACTTTCCATATGCTTATATATTCATTTGATGTGTTATCCTGTGTTTAGTTTTTCTGTTTTACTGATGCTTATTGTTTGCTTCTATTTATTATAGATGTTTTGTATCCAACTGAATCTTTGTGTATCTTGCAAAGGCAATTGTGGCTTTAAAGAAGGGTGCACATCTTCTGAAGTACGGACGTAGAGGGAAGCCAAAGTTCTGTCCTTTCAGGCTATCCACGGTAGGCTCCTTATGTGGTATACAGTTTTCTGATGACAGTAAATACCTGGTACAGTTTGTGTTATCTGAGATTTCTTGTTGATAAGTGATCTTCACCCAACATAAGTTAATTGCCTGTCAGGCTGTTATTGCACTTTGTATGTAAGGTCAATATAGGAGCTTGTGATTGTAGTACCCGTGAGAAGCTTCTGCAGTAATAACAAAAGCAAAAACAATAGCAACTTTTTCGATTTTAAAGAACTATTGTTGTTTGTGATGGCCTGGATTAAACTGGTGGTGAGGTGCTACAATGCCACTCCATTTACTTATAAGCTGATATTAGGTGGTCCTCTCCTTTCAAATTGAATAAACCATAATTTAATTACTTAATAGATTTTCCATCACCATTCTTTTAAAATAAATCTAATTCTTTGGTAGTCTCGACACTAAAATGTAGAACCTTTTGACTGCTTAAGTCAATTCATCTCAACAAGGAATTATCTCAACTATTCGGTGTTGGCAGATGAATCCTGTTTCATCATTCCATTCTGTCGGGTCACTACATTTTGTATAACAAAGACTCTACTCAAGTTGATCACAAAACACAAATAAATTGATCCACTGACAGTGGGGGCACTGTGCCTAGAGATGCATCTTAGGGGCTGTGCCCTTCTCCATCAGCTAATGCTGTGTAATGTACCAATAATTTGATATGTTCTCTATTATTGTTTTTTTTCTTTATTCTATTTATCAAATCCTTTTTTCTTAATTATTTTTGATAAAAAACTATAATAGGATACTGCTGAAAGTAATGATCAGATATATATGACCTTTTCTCCGTCACCAACTTCACATCCATGAATTGTGTGAAGGATGCACACCATTCATTAGGAATATACAAGATTGGGACCTTCCTGGTCGGTGCCTATTTGGGTTGTTATTCAGACGGCATGTTGAAAATAAATTTGAGTCCACATTGATGATGTTGAAAAGAAACTGCAATGTGTTGCATGGTTTCCTTGAACTTAAGCCATAATTGATATGCTTTCCAAATCAATGATTTATGTATTGTGACAGCAGCCTACCTGAAAAGTTGTGAATTGGATGTGGTTTCTTTGTGTTTATATTTTGGGCAAATCTGTGTGTCTGCTTATGTACTCCTTTTCCTTTGTCTGATATAACTTACTCTTTCTGAATATCAGAAAAGAGAAAAAATTCCCTAGAGATACAAGCTGCCTTCAATAATTTGTTAGATGAGTAAACATTATTGTTCAAATATGTGTACTTCTTTTCTTAAATATTCTAAATTTATGAAACTTAGTATAGCTTATCTATTTATTCAAGTACATAGTATCTACTATTTTCTTTCTTCTTTCTTTCATTTTCTTTTCCCTTCAAGTCAGCATTGTAAGAGCATTGGTTGGCTTGTAAATTCAAAAAATTGAATATTTTGAGCCAAGTTCATGTTCTATCTACTGAAGCTCTAGGATCCTCTTGTGCTCCATGTATGCACTTCAAAATATTCAATTTTGAAGTGGAGGGAATAGATCCTACCCCTCAAGGGAAGCAATACAAGAGAGCACAAGTTCCTGAAGGACACCAAAAGAAAACATAATATCAAGTAGAGCACAAGGGGTGCCTTTATTTGGCCTTGAAGATCAATGAACTGATTCCACTTAAATGAGTTGCCTCTCATTCTTCTTTAGCTTTATGACCCTTCTTTTTCATCCTCACTGTTATAAAACCTTGGTCCATCTGGACAACCTCTACTTCACTATTATGAGGACCCTCTTTTTTTTTGATGAATATTATCAGGACTGTCATTAATCTTTGCCTATCTTTTTATTAAGCTATTTCTCTTTTGATACAGAAAATTTTATAATCAACTGTTTCTGACATAATTTGTCATGAGTTTCAGGATGAAAAACTTTTAATTTGGTATTCTGGAAAGGAGGAAAAACAATTAAGGTTGACCTCAGTTACAAAGATTATTCCTGGCCAGAGAACTGTAAGTAAACATTGATACTTTAAAAATGATGTTTAAACCAATTTCCAATTTACCTTTTCTAGCTATTGACCATACTGCCTTAACATGTTGGATATTTCCACATGTTGTAGGTAAATTTTCTGAGACAACCCCAACCAGAGAAAGAATCCCAGTCCTTTTCTGTTGTCTATGCAAATGGTGAACGTTCACTGGATCTGGTGATAATTTCCTTTTGGTTTCTATTTATGTTAGAACTTTATAATACCTTATTTTGACCCATTTCTTCAGTTCTAACAGTGACATTACTATTTTTCTTTCTTTCTCTTTTACTTAGGTATGCAAAGACAAGGAGCAGGCAGACTCTTGGTTTGTGGGTTTGAGAGCATTGATATCTAGGTCCCATCATTATGGAAGTTTGTGTACTTTGAGGAATCGTCCAGGAGCACAAACCTGTGCCAACAGTCCTGTTGGTTATAGCCGGCGAAGGAATAGTCTTGGACTGGAGGATTCATCTAAATATTCTCAGGTTCTAAGAGAGCACATTATATACCTATCATTTTCCTATTGTGGAAGCTTTTGCATTGTTATAGCTGAGAAGTGCATTTATGTTTTATACATTCTGTAACTGTACATTTAGCATATGTCTTGTTTTTTTTTTTTGGGGGGGGGGGGTGTACCTGGCATATGGGAGGTTTTATGTGAGAGATATCCTTGGTGAAAAATCGACCTGTTGTAATTGGATCATCATAATCATCCAATACAAGACCTTTTCTTGTGTCCACCTAGAAGAATAACATTGATCTGGTTACAATGATGTGTATTCCCTCTTCAATAATGTTAATATGCATTTCACCATATAGATACTTTTTTCAGGTATATGATAGGAAGGATTGATTGAACAATGGGGTTCCTCTCCCATCATCCTATGCATGTTGTATGTGCTTCACTGTTATGGTATCTATATCATAATTAATAACTATGATTTGTAAAATGGCATTTCTGTAATTCTCCATTTGCTAATGTTAAAATGCATTTCACCATATAAATGCTTTTTTCAGGTATTTGATAGGAGGGATGATGTGCTGATAATAACTTCTATACATTCTAATTATAAAGTTTTACCTGAAAAGAGATGTTGGTGTGTGCTCCCATTTTACTTCTTTGTATTGTAAATTACTATTGATAACATCCTTGCTGCATGGTTTTACATTCTGAAGGTTCGCAGCTTATGTGGGAGTCCTCCACGGTCACTTGCAGAGAGGTGTTTTTCAGATGGCTTATCACACTCTTCTGAGGGCTTTTATTCATCAGAACCACGATCTTTATCAAGCATCAGGACTGCAATGGATTTTATAGTTCCACATTTGTCATATATGGAGCCAAATGATCTCAAGGAGAAGAGAAGAGCTAATGCTGGCACAGGATATCGAGTGAATTTGCCTTATGGTGTCAGAACCCATTCTCAATGTTTTCCATCAACTGACAATACTGAAGTTCTGAGGGATGTCTTGATGTGGGGTGAAGGGATAGAGGGAGGAACTTTAGGTGGTAGGAGTGACAGGTTTGGTAACCCTAATGGTACAAAATTTGATGCTTTATTGCCCAAGTTACTGGAATCAACCATGATGTTAGATGTAAGGAAGATTTCTTTGGGAGGACAGCATGCTGCAATAGTTACCAAACAGGGAGAAGTTTTCTGCTGGGGTGAGGGCAATAGAGGGAAGCTAGGCCATAAAATTAACATGGACATATCTGAACCAAAAGTTGTTGACTCGCTTAAGGGCATCCATGTAGAATCAGTCGCCTGTGGTGAACATCACACATGTGCTGTAACACTTTATGGTGAACTTTATACCTGGGGTGACAACAGTTATGGTATTGGTCTCATAGGTGATGGAAACAATGCGAGTCAGTGGTTGCCCTGTAAACTTTTTGGCCCTTTAGGTGGTACACATATATCAAGTGTTGCATGTGGAGATTGGCATACTGCAGTTCTATCCTCCTCTGGCCAGTTATTTACATATGGTGATGGAACATTTGGGGTTCTTGGGCATGGGAACCATCAAAGTGTTTCCCAACCCAAAGAAGTAGAATCGCTGAAAGGGTTAAGAGTAAAGTCAGTTTCATGTGGACCATGGCATACAGCTGCTGTTGTGGATGTCACCACTGGTCCTTTCAAGATAAGTTCTTCCACTGGGAAATTATTTACATGGGGAGATGGAGACAAAGGAAGGCTTGGACATCTTGATAGAGAAAGGAAGCTTGTACCAACATGTGTATCACGTCTTATGGCTTATGATTTTGTTCAAGTGTCCTGTGGAAGGATGCTGACAGTTGCACTCACAGACACAGGTATGGTGTGGACAATGGGCAGTACAGTGCATGGGCAATTGGGGAATCCATATGCTGGAGACAAATCAATCAATATTGTGGAAGGCAAGCTTAAAGGGGAGTGTGTTAAAGAGATCTCATCAGGATCCTATCATGTAGCTGTCTTGACATCAAGAGGCAGTGTTTATACATGGGGAAAGGGTGCAAATGGACGATTAGGGTTAGGTGATATTGAAGATAGAAACTCTCCTACTTTAGTAGAGGCCTTAAGAGATAGACAAGTATTGAGTGTTGCCTGCGGATCAAGTTTTACAGCTGCAATTTGTTTACACAAATCTATCTTTAGTAGTGATCAATCAACCTGCAGTTCCTGCAAGGTGGCCTTTGGGTTTACCAGGAAAAAACACAACTGTTATAATTGTGGATTTTCATTTTGCCGCACATGTAGCAGCAAGAAGGTTATGAATGCATCATTGGCGCCGAATAAAAGCAAGCCATTCAGGGTTTGTGATCCATGCTTCAATAGATTGCAATGTATCACACAGTCAGATAGACTAAAAAAGATGGAAAGCCCAGGCCCAAGACAACCCTTGACACCACGCAAGGTATTCTCTGACTTGAAAATAGGGAGGGGAGAGGCAAAAATTACACGGGGTTCTCTATTTTCTCCCAGACTAAATAATAATGAGGAAACCAAATGCAATGAAGGGCAGGTCTTAATCAAGCAACTGGGAAGTCAGCTTCATCAGGATCCTACTTTTCCTTCATCAACTGGACCACCAAGATGGGGACAGGTCCCATGCCCTGCATTATTTAGCACATATGAAACAGAAAATTCTATGGCATTACTTCCACATTCAGGAAATCAATTATCTTCTGTTCCTCCAGCATATATACAAGAGATTCCCCAGCAATCAAAATCCATAACCGGTGCTGGTATGAATGTGGAGAGAGGTTTATCTGAGTCAGATAAATTTCTTATAGAAGAAGTTTGGCGGTTAAGAGCTGAGGTAACTTGTTCACCATTTTTTGTTGTGAAAATTCTTGCTGAGAGATTATTTATGGTATTTCTGTGTGACTCTCCTCTCTCTCTCATACATATAGACACATCTGCAACTGAATGCACTTTCTTTGACTCCCTCTGTGCCATTTTAGAATCTTCAACTTGCTCCAAATTGTTAATAAAGAAATAAAAAAGAAGATGCAAGGTCTATAGTCAAAACAAAAGAATGATAAGGATTCCATGACCTTTATAACTTTGTTTTGGGGATTGCAACTCTAGTTGTATTTGTTTACTCCTATGGGTGTGGGTAAATTATCCACAAAATTGTAAGCTCAAGTTTCATATAATGCTTAATAACATTTACCTTTGCTGATAGAAAAGGTGATTTTTGTAATAAAAAAGAGATCTATAATCCGATCTGTCCATTCTACACTGAGCTGATGACCAGGAAATCAGTTTGCCCACTGTTTTTTCCATACATCCTCAATTTGACAACCTTTGTTCTGAAAAAATTCTTAGTTCCTCTCTTGCCATAATATCCAAAACACTGTTCCTGGAATCATTTGCCAAATGACTTTCCTTTTTTTGCTCAAGCTCTGGAGGTGCCATCCTTTAGAACCTTCAGTTGCTAATTCTTGACATATTTGTTGGTTCTCTTTGTTGACTTAGCATTGACATAATTCAACTTAGTTTTCATTGAGAATTGTCATTAAAGTACTAAATTTAGTGATAATCACAACTAGAAAATATAACCAGATGAAAAAGAATGGTCAAATGAAAGATGTAGGACGAGAATACAGGGTATAGGAAGGAGAAGGGGTGTGGAGATTTGTGCTAGAGAGATCTTTTGGGTCTATTGACTCCCTTCCTACAAGAAGATTTGATTGAACAGAGTATATAGTTATGAGTGGTGAAACAATAGTATCCTGATAATTTTATTACTGTTGACTCAAGGACCTGGTTTAGGTTTTAAATATTCTATATAGATTTTTGTGAGAGTGAGAATTTGTCATCCTCCTTTTATATCTTATTGTGACATTCTGATTTCTTTATTAAGTTTTTAATTTAGTTTGACTCAAGGATCAAAATTTTCGATATGATACACTCCATATCTGGCGTATTGTATCGTATATTTTGGTTCCCATGCACCTGTTTATAGGTGTTTCGGGAACCCATTCATTTTTTTAAATAAATATAAAACTATATTTAAAACTAAAACTTGAAAAACTAAGAAAAAGGGGGGGGGGAGGTGTTCGTTCAAAGTGTCGATACACAGAGGTGTATCGATACTTAAAACCATAGTTTGACTTTGCATCTTCACTACAACATCACTGAATTAATGTAGATATCCTTTAGACCATCTTTGAGTCAAATGAAAAATCCTCCATATTATATATTCCCAAATGACATGACCTTTATTTCAAACCTATAGTTTCAGTTGGTTTAATTTCTTTCTTGGGGCCTGTTCTGATTTTTGTACAAATCTCATTTAAAAATGTCTCATGCAATTGACTTCTGGAGCTACTTTGGACTGAAATGATGGGTTGTTGGATGCTTCTTGGAGGTATTACCTTGGTAGATCTGTACTGCCCAAGGATTCTAAGCTTAGGACAGAAAGTGAGAAATACAGAGTGATACTCAAGGTAAAGGGGCGGCTAGCATGAGTAGACTTCCACAAATTGATGTGGTGGAAACATCAATTTGGTTGAAAAAATATTAATACTTATTTTGGATAATGTAGGACTTGTATGATCTGAGGCTGGAGTGGTAACAAAATATTATGTTTAATTTTTTTTGAATTTTCTGAAATTTATTTTTAAATTTTTAGCATTTCTTTTGCATTTTTGTGCCTTGCTTCAAAAAGGCACGCGCCTCGGGTGCAAATTGGCCCCTGTGCCTTTTTTGCACCTTGTGCTTTTAAAACACTGGTGTAGATTGGAGACCTACTTGAAGACAAGGTCTGCTATTAGAGACTAGTTGCAAGACTGTCATATTTTATGCCTCACACATCTTGACATATCATATGCTATGATTAAAGTTAGCCAGTATATGCATCAATCATAAGTTGCAAATCTTGAAGCAACTAAAAGAATTTTTTTTCTTATTTGAGGGGAACTCCCAAAAAGTGTTCAGAGATTATTGACTGCTATAGTGAGTTCCTGACATTTCATACTTTTTAGTCACTTTCATATTTTCTCCTTTATTCTTCTCCTCTCTTTTTTCTTTTTTTTTCTATATTCTCTACTACTATAATTCTAAATTAAGTATACTAGGAGATTAAACATGTTTGAATTAGAGCTTAGCAACTTGTAGAACAGAAGACAAAGTCAGCCCATTTGTAAGCTTAATATCATCTTTCCCAATAATAGGAGCAAGAGACCTATTATCTATAGACACCTTATCTCTACTTGAGATAACTGATATGAATGAAATGAAGTAGAGAGACTTGAAAAATAATCAGATGCTCCTGAGCCTGAATTAATGAGCCATAGAGTCGTAGAATTACCTTTAGCAAAAGATAAATTTGTAGTGGCATGTTTACTTTAGTTGGCGTTGGCGATTACGGTAGAAGGCTGTAAAGATGAAGAACTAGGAACAGGCGAACTACTTGTAGCACTATTCTCTAACTGGAATAAATACCTGCTGTGTTTCTCAACCTCAGTTCTAGCTACTGCTAAGGTATCTAACAATGGAAGACAAGGAGGAGCAAAAGTGGTGGTGCCTAGGAATCTACTATGTAGATGCTATATTTGTGCTCTCTTTCTTAGAATTGTTCTTCAAGTCTGGTTGGAGTTTCCAACATTTTTTCTTCTTTTTTTTGTGTTTAGATTTCTTATAGTAATCACATATTTCTTTCTCTTTAGTGCTGCTACCCTTTTGAGTCACCTATTGTATTTTCAATTTAGCTGTGAATGGAGTAGTATGACCTAGAGTCAATGCCTATAGCATATTGTCTCACATTCTTTTCACCATGATCAAGAAAATAAGTCTACGAAAGAGTCACATTGTCTCCAGTAAGGATGTATTGGTGTGTAAAGTCATACTCTAAATTAAGTTTAGCTAAGAATTTAAAACCCAATTCCTCTCTACAAGCTTATTGTAGGTAGCTGCATCCGTAGGACTTTCCCAAACTACAATTTCCAAGAGAGTGATATCTTACCAGTGTTTTTAGGGTAGAAGAATACATCCCTTTGTGTTAAATTGTTCACTTCAGGTTCAACTATTAAGCATGGGTGACATTTAATGATTTAATACCTAGGAGTATCAAGTATGTCTCTGCCATACTTTCCTAATCTCCTTGGCAGTTCTCATCCATAGGAAATTTCAACTAAGGTGGGGTTGCATGGAATTAAATAATCAAGACATTACCATTAGATTCTCTTACATCCCTGTCACATGCTTTATATCATGAAGATTTGGCTCTTCCTCAGATCCTGTCCACACCCTCCGAAATACACACGTAAGGCTAAGATCATTCCAAATAATTTTTTTTTTCCATCAAACTTCATAGTGGTCGCTTGATTACTTATTGTATCCCCAAGATGTCTAGAGCTACCTACCCCAGGGATTGACATCCTGCTTGAGATCTCCCTCTAAATGAGTACATTACTCTTTTCAAAATACAATTTTATGCAAGAACAAATCAAAAACAAAAAGAAATAAAATTTCCAAGGGCCAAGTCTTAGAAAAAACTACAACCCTACAGCATAGTTGTAGGGAACCACCCCTCTTGGGATAAGGAGAAATTGGAGAACAAGAATCCCTTCACTCCAGAGGCCCTAGAGCTTCTTCCAAAGGCTGCCTCTAACTCTAGAATGCCAATTCAATATTGGAAGAGCTGATTGAATGCAGATTCTCTTCTAGATTATTACTGAAAATTTTCTCAGTTTATGGTTTTGGGGAAAAATCTGACAAACCTGTCTTGATCATGATGATCCTAAAACTGTGTGAGTTTCACCTGAGATGGAGTTGAATACACCAAGATCTCACTGTTCTGGTTGTGCAGTTGGCCAATGTGTTTACCGAAGGAGTTAAAAAGTCTACATTGCAGCATACTCTTGGCAAGCTGGGCATGATTAACATCTATGCTCAGTTTCACGGGGAGTGTTGAGAGATTGTTAATTGCTTTATTTCTGTAGTTGGTTGCTTTATTTATTTATTTTTATTTATTGTTGTTTTCTATTCTTATTTAGTGAATTGTGTGACCAGGGTTATTCCATTTACTGCCATATAGGATCTCATATATAGGTGAACTAGAGGTTGACACTTTCTCTATTCTTCTTCTCTTCTTCTCTCTTAATATCTTCTCTTCTCTATTCTGTCTTTGCTACTTTACCTTTGAAATATATATATAATTCTAATATGAATATACTAGAAGATTAAACAAATAAAAGGAACTTTTTCATGGACACTTGAGGATAGAATCATTCATGGATGCAGACTGGGCTGGTTTAGTTGATGATCAATTTTTTATGTCAGTTTACTGTATATTTGTTGGTCGGAACCTTGCTTTGTGTTGGAGGAAAAAAATGTTGGCATTGGGTTTGGTGTTGAGGTAGAGTATAGGGCAATGACGCATTGGGACTTAAGAGTTGTTGTAGCTAATGATTCTTCATAGAGAATTGAGTATGAAGGATTGGTTCAGTTGCATTGTGACAACCAAACAACCATTAACAGTATGCATAATCCAGTCTAGCATGATAGGGTTGATCGACATTTTATAAGTGTTAAAGTTACCTTTGGAAAAGTGTTGTATTTTTTCCCCTTTTGTGAAATTACAAAGTGAACTAGCAGATGTTCTCACAAAAGGACAAAAGGAGTTCTTAAACGCAAATTTGATGTGTTACTAGCCATGCTTAACACCTATCTTAGCTTGAAGGGGAGTTTTGAGTTATTTGGATTATATACAATTATTTTATTTTTCTTTTTTATTGTGGTGGCACTATAGTCATTACACCTTATATTATAAATCCAAATTTAGACTGGATTGTCACCATACTGGCTGGAATATGGAACTTCTGTTAAAGGATTGCACCAACCTGAGAGACTTCTATAATTGTCAAGGATCAAAGAGGTATCATATCAGATAGTTTGGATATGGACACACTTTGGAAATGAATGGATGTGGATGAAAGATATGAAAGCGCTTGGATACAGTAGGGAAATGCATACAAATCATATGAATACATTAATAACACTAAATCTGAATCTTGTATAAATACATGTACACATTATACAATAATTGTCACCATATTTCAGTTTTTTATAATTATAACTTTAAAATTTTAGAAGTTTTTGTGAAAACTTATTTAGTATTTTTATATAAATAATACTGCCTTTTCAAACAATAAATATGTTTTCATTTTTAACATATGATTGTTTTATTTTGAAAGTAACTATAAAATTAAACATATAAATCATTTAAGGTGGATAACATAAATTATTTTCACAAAATTTTCCATTTATTAAATTTTTTGGGAAAGTTAAATCTTAAATTATTTTTTTCAGTTTTTATAATTATAATGTTCATTTTTATTGATTTTTGGGAAAACTTATTTATTTAATATTTTTATATAAATAATTACTTTTTTCAAATAATAAATATATTTTTTATTTTTATAATTATAATTTTCAAATTTTTATTAAAGTCAAAAAACAATCCAAAAGCGGTCAATATACAAAGTCGTGAAACCAAGAATCGGTATGTTCCCGTATCAGTGTGTATCAGACCGTATCCATTGATACAGCATGATATGGAGGTGTATCATACTGATATGCATGACTTGTGCAATACAAACCCAGTTGTGGTGTATCCTGTATCCATGTTCATGGATACGGATACGATATGCCGCATATTTGGGAGTATCATATTGATACTTTAATCCTTGATTGCAAGTATAGAACAGGGTACAGGACTGATGGAATTGGTCCTGATGTTGTTTACAGACGCTATAATTGGGTTGGTTCTATGTTGTCATTGAAATCAAGAAATTTTAAAAAGTTAAAAATTAATTAGTTTTTAATTTATACATGTAATAAATTTATATAAATACAAAATGTTGAATTTATTTATTATGAACTTTTCATACAATTTTATATAATATCTATATAAATACATTATTATATATATTATATATACATAGAACAAATTTTGATCAGATTGGATGTTGGATTAGGTTTCAATTCGGAGTATTGGAGTCTGTTGACAGCCTTACCAATAATTATCATATCAATTAGATAATTTGTGTATGGTATAATAAGCTTGTTTAACAAATGGTCATATCAATTCAGATCTGGTTTTGTATATTCCTGGTCATACTTCTTTTCTATTTCATGCTTTTGTTATGAAATTTAATACGTTTATTTTACTTATTTCAGTGACCTATTGATGTTTATGAAGATTTCTTCCTTTGTTAGGCTAAGACCTTGGAAAAGCAATGTCAAATGAAAAGTGAGAAACTTGAAGAATGTGAACAAAGGCTTGAGGAAACATGGTCTCTGGCAAGGGATGAAGCTGCTAAATGTAAAGCAGCAAAGGAAGTTATAAGAGCCTTGACAACAAGGGTAATCTTCTTTTATTATAAAATTCTTATTCTGGGATGCATCCTATCCTGGTTTAACACAATGAAAATGAACAAAGGAAAAAAGGAATATCAGAAAATAAGGGAAAAGAAGTCAGGGACGTTTATGTGGTTTCCTCATATTCTAATCATTTAATGGGTTAAAAGGAAAAGGAGACAAAGATAAAAGCAGAAATAAGTGAAATAACCCTTAGGACTATATATATAGGCCAGAAGTGCAGAAAAAAGGCCATTACCCAATGTTGGCCCCAGCTATGTGTTCTCATATGCTGCAAGCCCGAACCAAGATTTTACCATTTTACCATTATACCGAGCCAAGATTCTAAATCTAAAGTTAGCATAATAAATGTTATCAATTTACAATAGAATTGAAAAAAATACTCGTGATGAATGAGCGTAACAACTACTGCTTAGTGCTTATTGTTTACTATAGTTTATAAAATATATTTGGATCTTGTCCAATTGTATGGTGGCATCCATCTTCATTGCACAAAGTTACATGTGCTTGACATGACTTTGAGAAGCCTGGCATGCTTTACATTTTTATGAGAAAATTATTAATAGATCTCTTTTACAGACAGGAAAGTTGTTCCTTCAACTACTGGAATGCAATCTTATGTCAGTGATTGGCCCCATTTCCTGGAGGCAAAATTGTGGATCCCATGCACCTATTGAAAACTTAATAATTCCATATTTGCATCACATATACATTCCTAAAATGACATCCTCATTCTATAGAGCTGAAACATAGTAAAGCACTTGAAGGAAAACTAAAAGATGCAGAAAATCAAAATTAGTAGGTTAGGATATTTTGAGTACAAAATAGATTTTTCTTGATTGATTTACTTGTAACATTTATTCTATCCCAGTCTTATCCAACAGTTCATATCATCTTTCAATGCCCATTATTCATCCGATACATGTCTATACTCTATAGATTTGTGTATGAACTCAAACATTTTGAAATTTACGCATTCTCTCAGTCATACAGACACTTATAGTTGTTAAACCCCAGAGACCGAAGGCAAGATCAACAAAAAATCTCAAGTAGTTAGTTCATACATATTTTTCGTGCTTGATTTACTTGTGACATTTATTCGATAGTATATATCATCCTTCAATGCCCATTATTCACTGGATACATGTGTATAGATTTGTATATGAACTCAAACATTTTGAAATTTACCCATTATCTCAGTAATACACACATAGTGTCAAACTCCAGAGACCAAGGGCAAGACCAACAAAAAACTCTCAAGAGGCTAGTTCATACAATGAAAAATAAAACATAGTACCAACCAAAATCCAGACTCACATCATTCTGTTGGAAGAACCCCCCTTCCTCTCCACTGATCGCTGGCCATGTCATCTCCAGATAATTGGCTATGAGAAGTTGACTTTGAATGTCAAGGGTCTAGCTTTATGATTGAAAGGGAAAAGATTCCAAGAACCAGAGGACCCACCTTATATCTACCCAATATCAACCTAAGGTTGTACCTCAACATGAATGCAACAAAATCTTATCAATCTGAGGTCCTGTAAGATGGTCATAATCTCTGGTCTAGTTCAATTTAACATAAACAGAGTAAGATAATATCACCATGAAAATTTATGAAAGCCCTCCCAATACCCATACCATGTACAATTTTATCTATTTACATAAAACTTTCTTTGTGAGACTATCCTTATTACTGTTTCGGTGTATATTTATGGATTTATGGATTCTAGAAGGGTTCCTAAAATGTATTCTAGTAATCTAATTTAGGTTATCTGGATCCCTTTTCCTGTCTGCAACTTTTCTCATGAAGAGAGGAAGAAATGACAAACATGTTTAGCCCTTTCAAGAAGCCACCAAAGGTGGTCTGTGAATGATTCCTTTTCTTGTGTATCACTTGTTAAAGACAACAGGTGCAGCAAACATGACCTCTATGTGGATCTGTTTATGTTTATGCTTATAATTTGTATCTTTTATTTCAGGTGTGCCATTGTTGAATAAAAGACCATTTGTTATAATCAACCTAATTTACAACTTTTCTGTCAGGCAAAGTTGTTCGGTAGTTTGGTTCTAATCAGTGGGTGTGAGGTTAAGAAGAAAAAGTGAAGTGAGATGAGAGCTAGATATATGTAAATTAGAACTGAAGGCCATTACTCAGTGTTGGTCCCAGATATCTGGGGTCGTGGGAGGGGTTGATTGAAATAGAAACCTAAGCTTTGGCATTTTTGCACCAAGTGGCTGCTCCCAGACTTGAGCCTGCATTCTCATGTTTGTCATCATGAGATTTTACCATTATGCCAAGCAATGGCCCCGATATGTAACAAGTAGAACCATCATTTCCAAATGAAGACTTCAGAACTTTTTTCCCCAATGTATGGGCAATAGCTTAACCATCCATTCAGTGTCTTTATTCATCTAATATTTAAAACAATTCGACAATATTTTTTAAATTGAATGAACTGGGCAATGCCTAATTAGACCCATTCAGGAAAAGTCTTTGTATTATTTTCTCTTCCTTTTTTCTCAAAAAAAAAAAAAAGAAATAAAGAATATAAGCTGTCTCGACAATCATCTGTCCATTGTTATCTCTGCTTTATTGTTGCCACCAATTTTGCATATCTGAATGCATGCCTTTTGTCATAACCTGATGTTGCTAAAATCATTTTTCAGTGATTTCGCAGACAATCTCAACTTGAATTTTTCCAAGGCTTGTTTGAAATAATCCTGTAGTGCAACTTTGCTTCCTGTCAAGTGTCAACCCCATGACAAGCCAGACGAATGGTCAATTAAATAAAATGATGGATCAGCTTGATTTGGTTTGTCAATGGCTTGGAAGGGTTGATTGAGGAATTGATTATCTTTTTCAAAATCTGGGACATTTCCACATGTTATGACAACAGATATGATAACTCTGGGTTCTCTTCTATATTACTGTTTACCTGGATCTCTATGTAGAGATAAACCAACTTCTTATTGAGCTAGATATTGCATTGGAGCACTGTTATACTACTGTTAACCTGGATCTGTAGACAAATAAAATTCTAATTAGGCAAGATGATATAATTTTAGGTACTTTGAGTTGATCTGGTCTTAAAACTACCATAAATCATGCGTCATATTTACTTGCTATCTCTAACTTTGAGCTGTCAATGAAGCAAGGTTTAAAATGTCGATGTCGATGGAAATGTCGCTTACCAAAATATAGGACATATGTCGGAAATGTTGGAAATGTCGAGGGGAAATATTATAA